GCGATAGACACATAACAACATTATGTTGATATTATGTTGTTATGACATACTGACAGTTTATAATATCTCCCAGTGTCAGAACATTATTCGAAAATCATCGACCGCGAGATCCATTACGACTTCGAATTTGTAAAAATAAAGATCTACGCAACGGCGGCAATATTGAGGGGACAAAATATACAACGCAAGCAAAAAATGACAACTGCTTTTGAAAATAGCTAACAGTAACGAATTGAAGGTAAATATAAACTTAATTCTATCATATACTTTGGATTTTACGGGAATTTGAATCAATTTAGAAAATGTATCAATGGTCGTTTTCCAACTCGTGCCTATTTTACCTCCATGAGTGCCATGCCGTACGTGCTTCCGGTTTCATCAAGGGTGGGTACAATTACAAATATTGTGATAATGTTTCATGATCTGTATTAATTAGGTATTGAGTCGTTTTCTTTGAATGATTTTGAGTTCAGATTCTGCTTATGAACGCGTTTTTTCAAACATCCTTCGTGTGCCCTTACGCGTCACCTACGACTGTCAACAATGTCAGTGTCGGAAGGTTTAGCCAACAAAATCATTATAAACTCGATAAATATGATAATTTTGTTACAAAGACAATACCATTTACCTAATCAGACCATGTAATTAATTCCAGCGTAAATAGTTTGATCTATCAATAGGATGGCACATTTTTTTCGGTGTCACGATGCATGTGGAGTTATTTGTTTACCGTCGTTGCCATGATCGTTGATTTTCATCCAATCGGTGACGTAGCATTGAGATTGTTTTCGTTTATAAATAATTAATTTTTAGAAAATGGGAAGCTTCAGTGTTTTTTCTTTACCAAAGAACAAAAATATTGATCAAATTCTAAAAAACATATTACATTATGAAGAAAATATTAGACTGGGTACCACTCGACGTGATGTGCCTGAAGTCAACAATGGCCGTTATTTGCCGAGAATTTTGGCGAACTCATTTTTAATTCATGGGCATTTCGTGTTAAGGTACATAAATTAATTGAAGATTACATATTTACAAAGCTGAGAATTAATGCATTCCATGCATAAGTCAAATGACATGTAAATCCGACTTGTTGAATAATTATTGCAAGTTTTATTTGGGGATGTCATTATTCTGCTCTCCTGTCGAATGGGTTCGACAGTAACATTGATAGGATTAAGCAAGGGTGCTTGTTATCTCCCCTTCTGTTTAACCTCTATATTAATGACTTGATCACAACTGTAAATGAACTGGCTCTAGGTGTAGACGTCGACAATATCAACGTTGAAATGTTAGATTATGCTGACGACATAGTTCTAGTCACAGAGAACGAAGATGACATGAACATTTTACTTGATGTACTCAGTACCTGGTGTCTGGAGAATAAGATGGACATAAATGGAGATAAATCGAAATTGATCCATTTCAGGACCAAATCAGTGAGAATAACTTCGTAAACTTTTTCGTCGGGAATGAAAAATATCGAACTAGTGAGCTGCTATAATTATCTTGGTTTGTTACTAACGCAGCACCTCGACTATCAACGGATGGGACAAGCAGTAGCAAACTCGGGAAATAGAGCTCTGGGTATGTCAATATCAAATTACAAGGCCTTCTGTCGAATGCAGTACGATGCCTATACAAAACTTTATGATTCGATGGTGTGGTCTACCATACAGTATGGTTCTGTGATATGGGGACAGTACGACTTATCATGTATTAAGGCTGTGCAGAATAAAGCAATGAGGTTTTTTATTGGTCTCAGAAAATTCACCCACAAAGCTGTGTCCGGAGAATTGGGATGGACTCCACCTACAGTTCGCCAATGGGAGACCGTGTCTAAGTTTTACAAGCGTTTAAGTTCCCTTCAAGACCACAGACTGTCAAGAAATGTTTTTATATGGGCTAATTAAATTGAATTTTAGAGTCCTCGTAAAATATAAAGCCCTTGGATTGAATATTTTTATTCCAAAAGAAAATAACTATCACTACATACGTATTGTGACGGAGGTGAAAGAAGGAGTTTTTAAGATGTTCAGAGAAAAGTGGAAAAGTGCTTTAAATCAGGATAACAGTATCAGTGGCAAGGGAGGTAACAAACTGCGTTTATATAACCAGTTCAAAGACAACTACAGAGTGGAATACTACAATACACTCCCGATGTCGAGACCAAACGGAAGATCTCTGGCCGTATTCAGATGTGGGGCTGCACCGATTAGGGTTGAAACTGGGCGCTATACGAACCTCCCCGTCAATGTGTTTTAACTGTACCAACTGTGAGGAAGATGAGATGCATGTTTTACTTCAATGTCCAGTTTATAATGATGGCCGTAAAGATCTTTTATCTACATGTAATGATGAGTGGCCTGATTGTAATGTACAGAATGATGATGTTAAGCTATGTTTTATCCTGGCCAGGCCAAGTGTTGTACATGTGTAAGTGCCAAATTACGTAAGGATATTTTATATACCTTATTGTGTTGTTCTATTTTACCTGTGTATATTATCCATTTAATTTTTTTCCCCATTTGTATTATTGGTAATTTTAATTTGTACTTTTTTAACGTTTAGTCTCTCATAACTCAACACGGAGAGGCTCATTTTAATAACTTTTATGTTTGCTTGAGGTGAAACTATAATAAACCACCTGCCTGTCTGTCTAGATAGAAAATGTCCCATAAAATAACACTTTCATTCGACCCTTGCACCAAAATTCTTTAAAGTTATATTATTGGTTATTTTGTAACCGTATCACAGGGAGATTTGCGAAAAAGTGTGCGTACAGCTGATTGCTGATTACAAGCTTCGCTGACGAGAACATACACTCAGTGATATTCATCTCTTCGTGTAAAACTATGAGAAAATATAATTTAAATGGTAAATCATCATGTCTAGTGATAATCTATCAAAGATTTCACATTTTATTGATCACGTTGCTCGTTCGCCCGAAGTCTCTGAAGGGATAATATGTACTTTACAATACTGATGTGTTCCGATAGCTTCAATCTGAAGGTTTTTATGCATTAATCAACTATTAAAACATATGTCAGTTTGGTTATACCTCTTTATTGTATATCCTTTGTTTTGACAGACAGCTTTTCATCCTCCGATAGGTGTCGCTTTGCGCAGTGAGAATAATTCTGAACACAAGTAAAACATGGCGAAATTATAGTCCATAACAAGCAAATCTGCATTCTGCAAAGTAACAACTGATCCATATTTCAACGCTTTTAAAATAGGAGTTTTGTTTCCCTTTAAGGAATAAGCAATTGACCTCTTCTAGGCACAGCCTTTGCTCTTAACCATGCAAAGTTAACTTTTTTCTAACAAATACGCTTATAACGAATATAACAAAGATGTGTTTGTCACGTCTATTTGCTGTGCGTCCATTGTAACAAGATACAATTAGTGGTCCCTTTAGTTGACTGTGTTGATTTTATGTGTTTTTATAGAGTGGGTATTAGAGTTGTTTCCAGATAAGATATGACTTAATATCCAAAAGGAAATTCATATTCTACAGTCGATTAGCACTAAGATATGAGAAAAGAAAATATGAACTGACTTACAAAAGAAACTTGACACCCATTCATTTCAGTCATACAGAAAAATAACAAAACCAATTCATATGATGATACCGGGATAGTTTGTAATGATCAGTACTGCATGATACGACAGGCAATCATGACTGGTTGTTTGAAACATGCAGAGTTTGAGTCACCGAAAGACGTAAGGGGTATGAAATCATTTCTTACAGTTAGCAGTGTAAAGACCATGTCCATAATGAATGTTTGTCAGTGGACATGCACTGACATTCAAATCAATATCTGTGACCTCCATTGGCGTTGATACAGGCCATATTACGACGTCTCACGGAGAACGTAAGACGCAGATGACGTTAGCGCGAATCTGTCTCCACACCTCATGAAGTGCCTGTTCCAGTTGCTGTCTGGTCTGTGGCTGTTGCTGTCGACCTGTCAACTGTCGTCCAAGATGATCCCAAAGATGTTCAGTGGGCGATAAATCCGGGGAGCGTGACGGTCATGGCAAAACCTGCAAGTTATTCTGAGCAAGGAAGTCTGTGGTCAATCTCGCTGTATGGGGTGTAGCGTTGTCTTGCTGAACATGGTCCCCTGTGCATGTTGTCGAAGGAATGAGTGCAGTCACTAATAAACATGAATTTCGAGAAACATCCATCAAAAACAAAAAAACACTGAAGTTGGTGTGATTGGGCTTATGATTCACATGTTGTGTGTTTGGTATATCATACTGACCACAGATTTCAAGTTAGCGGGTGTAAAGTTTCTTTTGTACGTCAGTTTATGAATTAGAATATAAACATAAGAAAACAAGACACTAATATAACCGCTCATAAATAATTGTTGAAAATCTGACATCATGACAGTGACAAGTAATGTCATGTGAAAGTTGGATACCATACTCTGTATCACTGCTCCAGTAAACCTGAATGAGAGGGATAATGGCAGCATAAGATTTGGATATAAAACGTATTGAACAGATAGTCATATAAAAGACTGATATTGGCTGGTATGAATGAAGGGTAACTAAGTTTGATGCAAGTTGGTTGGTTGTTATTTAAGTGAGTGAGTGAGTTTTGTTTTACACCGCTGTTTGCAACATTCCAGCAATATCGCGGCGGGAGACACCAGAAACGGGCTTCACACATTGTACCCATGTTGGGATTCGAACCTGGGTCTTTGGCGTGACGAGCGAACGCTTTGACCACTAGGCTACACCACCGCTCCTAGTTGTTGTTTAAAGCCGCGCTCAGCAGTATTCCAGCGATATGGCTGCGGTCTGTAAATAATCAAGTCTGGACCGGACTATCTTGTGAGCGATATCATATCAATTGGGATCTGATGACCTGTAAGCACAGAACAGACCAAGTCTACATTTCAGAAAGAAGCACCATTGGGTGCAAGTATCTAATGCAAAAATGTAATAACGCATTGTTCCCTGTCACCTCTTTATTGTTTCAGAATCTTGGGAAGAGGAACAGTCGCTCCATCGAAGTAAAGTAGTTACCTACCAACAGGTATTAATAATAGCATGCCGGAAGGTTTTCATCACCGATATTTCATGAAAGTCTTTAATAATATTGTTTTAGATTCATTTAGAGACACGTTCTTCTATTTCAGACCTTTGGTATGTTGTTATACATATGATGTAGGATGGTCTCTTGATTATTAGTTTATCATGATGATACTGATTTTGGCACACCTAATCTTGTGGCCTGTTTGTACAGCGTCACTCATGCATCGTTCTTCGTGTAACGTAAACATCTTTTCCTCCGAAACTATTGGACCAATGAGGATGATTCCTCACATAAATTCGCAAACCAAAACCCTCCCTGATTTGTTTGAGAAGTTGGATTCTGATCTTTCAAAAAGACATTTTGAAACGTTTTATGACCTTTAGTAATTTTTCATCATAGTTTCACGATATTTGGAAAGTGATAAGTGAAAAGGCTCTGTAAAAGGCCATGAAATATCCAACAAAATGGATGTTAGTATTTGTTTGTTGATCACATCCGTTCAGATCATTACATTATTGATTTTTGTTTACGAGGCAGTGTTACACCTTGTGCAACTGTGTTTTAACTGTTATACATCGTACCTGTGGCAGTGGTGAGATATGTTTCGACTATATTTAGATGGAGTTCACAAGGCTTCCACTGTGTTCTGGGTACGTAAGTCCCAACACATTCAAAGTAAATTTAAACCAACTATTATTTTTAATCGAAGTATATGTTATTTTAATTTATGGCAAGATTATCAAAAATTGCTAAAAGCTGAAGGTATGGTGTAAATCCAGCTAAGGTCCAGGCAGGAAGCAAATGTACTGTAAGTCCCCATGGTCTCTATTGTGGTGATCTACCTTCAGTTGTTGGCGATCTATAGCCTGTTTATATTGTATTGTCTTCTGTAATTGAAATATTTTAGATTGACCTACTAGTTTTATATTCATGTCTGTGATATTCTTGTTGTTACTACTGTCCTTCGCGGACATGTTTTTATTATTAAGCTTTACTTATTGTGAAATTGTAACTTGTTTTAGTGGCTGAAATACTGCCGATGTGACTTAAAAGTTTAACTCACTCACTCCATTGTGTTCTGGCCCGGAATCTAAGAAACACGAAACACGTGCAAAACATGTATTAGTCGGATTTCATGTAAAAGAACTTGCGAAAAAATCAGTTTAAATGTCCTGTCGAACACTGCAATATCACTGCACATAAAGTCACACAGAGAGAATGCCAAGGTTAACCCAGGAAGAAAAAGAACGAGCAGTAAGGATGACCCAGATGGGTGCGACGCACGCCCACATAGCGAGGACGTTCCAATGCACACCACTGACAATGTCCAGACTTTCAACAAACCTGGAAGTGGAAGACCACGGGTAACGTCACCACAGGAAGACCGCTATATTTGGACGTTTCATCTAAGAAACAGATGGCAGGGAACAGACGTTGTGGTGAGCGTATAGCACTCCAATGTATACGGGAGGTCCATCCTTACGGTGGCGGTGGTGCCTTGGTATCAGGTGTCATCATTGATGACCTAAAAACACCTCTGGTCATTATGAATGGAAATCTGAACGCTCGTCAGTATATTCATCAATAATAATAATACAATAGTCCATTTATATTGCGCGTTTATCCATGCACATTGCATGCTCAAAGTGCTGACATATTACCCCTGGTCAACGAGTACAGAACACTCCATGTGGAGAATACAACCGGTCGCCTGTCAGGCGCTCAAGGTTCAAATTCAGACTACCATCGCATCATATCAGGTACCCAATTTTACTGCTGGGTGGACAGAGGCAATTTTGAACAAACTGCCGTTGTACTGCCGTTTTACACAATCAACGACAAGGCATCATTTTTCAACACGACATTGCGAGGCCTCACACTGCAAGAGCAACTCTTGACCTTTTACGACAGAACAACGTTGATGTTTTACCATGGCCAGCCTGCCCACCAGACATGAATCCGATTGAACACTTGTGGGACCACGTGGATAGAGAAATCAGACGTCGTTGACCAATTCCACAAGACCGACAAGAGTTGGAACGTGCACGTAGAGAAGAATGGCAACGGATACTGCTACGTCAATGAGAAGACGTATCTGAATATGTACTGACATGGCAGGAGGTCATACACGTTATTGACTCAGACCGTCCTCCACGGTGTTGTGCTATCGCCATTAATTGTCGACACAGACTTTAACAATCTGTAACAATGCCACCCTTACTGTGTTTAATCTCTAATTCTAGTTAAAGTCAAACATAAGAGCTGTGTCTGTTTACATGGAGAATACCAAGATGACGCCTGAATCTTATAAAATCAATTGCACGGAAATATCTGCTTTGTCTTTGTTTTGATAATAAAAGTGGACCTATACTTTCTTTTGCCCGGCAATTTAGTTTTATATGAAAGCAGTTGTTATAACTCACGCATAAATCTGACTAGTTATAGGTAACGGTTCACATTTTTACATTTTTGAAAAGGTGTGGGCAATTTGTGTTTCATTGTTTTTATCAACTGACTGTGCTGTTGCAGGAGATGCAGGAGAGGCGAAAGATGCAGGAGATGCAGGAGAGGCGAAAGATGCAGGAGATGCTGGAGATGCTGGAGATGCGGGAGATGCGGGAGATGCTGGAGAGGCTGGAGAGGCGGGAGAGGCGGGAGAGGCGGGAGATGCAGGAGAGGCGGGAGAGGTGGGAGAGGCAGGAGAGGCAGGAGAGGCAGGAGATGCGGGAGATGCGAAAGAGAATTGAGGAAAATGTTAGGTCTCTGTTGTTGCGTGGTCACAACAGGTGTTCTGAAACAGGTAAAAGTGTTCAATAAATATTGGTATGATAAAATTGTATTCATTTAGGATTTATTAGCAGGTTACACTAACATAGTAGAGTGACAGGGAAAGGGAATACCATTAGACGTCACTTTTTAAAATATTCTCAATCATGTAACAAACTGTCAGTAATATATGGTACGAAAGCCTGAAATAATGGGGATCAAAGGCTTAGGTTTAAGATCATAATCAACCAAGAATAACTAACAGTGTGATTTCCGTTCAATATTTCGTGTCCTTATTATCCCGTCTTTAGATGTTTCTATTTGTTAGGCACAATTACGACGGTAAAATAATATAATGTGCATAAACCATAGGTATGTGCGTGTTCTGCATGTGTAATACTCCCTACTCTGAATATGTAAATTATTACTTGTTGCCAAATGCAATACCACTAGTATCACCTCAACAATTGTACCTCAATGGTCACATGACCGACTTTATAACGTCTCTAGAAATCTTTCAGCTGTTTGTCTCGTGTGTGGTACTGACGTCATTAACCAATTCTCCAAACACTGTAAATACACAAGGCATCGAATCACCTGCTTGTCGCTGATATTTGTACAGCGAGCCTTCTAGAAATTGTCTCATCCCGAATCTTCTTAAGCTATCAGGCCTTCCATATACAAACCAGATAGTACAACAACAATAAATAATTCCCAGTACAAAACCATTTTGGCAAGGTCAATCGGCTCCTATCGATCACTGTTCAAATCTCTCTAAGACAAAAATCCAAGTAACTGCACTGGACTTCATTTTGGTCACTGCTGTGTCAAATGTGTCTTCCATAACACTTTTTGAAAGCAATACTAAGGCCTTCAGTGTTGTTATCCTAATGAAATATCTCTTGAGTCTCTTAGTCGTATGGCACTCATGGAAAGAGCATGCTTGGTTGTACCTAATAGGGGTGTTAGGGTATCCTAGTCGTTTGATGGCTCACTTGGGTACAATGTGTGAAGCACGTTTCTAATTTTGGCTGCTGTGTTATTACTGGAAAATTACTGAAAAACATGTTCGCTCCATACTCAATCAGTCAGAAGTTGTAAAATGTAGTTCACCAAAGACTGCCAAAGGTTGAATATTGTTCAGAACGAAAGGGAAATTTACAATTCAATGTTGAAGTCAGCCCTCTCGTGATTCAATCGTATGTTCTGTCACCGTGAAAGCATGGTTCTTGATATAAAACAAATAAAGTCGGTTTCATCTTTAAACAAAGACATCGGATTTTAGTATCTTCATAAGGCAAGGGTACACAGATTGAATCATCTTGTGGAACTCTCAATATACATATATATTTGGTGTAGAAGTACTATTAAAAATATTTATATGCGAACTGCTTGGTATTAATACTTGTCATGTAGCACAGAATCATCTCATGAAAACGACTGTATGTTTCAGCTGCCGAAGAGAATTTTGCAAGTCTAGAAGACATGAATAAAGGCGACGAATCAAAGGTAAGAAGAGTATAGGAACCGTTCATCCAAGATTAGGTGACTTCCTTGGTAGGCCCAATGCTCTTCTCGTAATTTTTTAATGATCTGGAACCGTTTTTACATTCTCAAAATTTCCCCCAGTCTTACTGTTGAGTCACAGATATACCCGTTGTATACTACTGGAATAAAGTAACTGTGCATTATTTGATGTTGTGCCATTTTAGAATGCCAAAAGATAATAACATGATTTGTGGTGTTCTCCTCAATCACTGTTTAACTGTTGACAAGAAAATATCAATATCTGTATGATTTGACAATGGGCATCATGATACGCCCTTGAAGAGATGTGGTGTCAAAAGTAAGTTCACAAATTCAGTATCGTGTGTGTCCACCATTGGTGTTGATGCTTGACAACGACGACGCATAGACGGCAATGACCGAATGAAGAAAGCTTGGGAAATTTTGTTCCATGTCTGAACCAACGCTTGCCCCAATACAGCTAACGTCAATGGCTGATTCTGGGATGACGTAAACGTCACTTCATTTCATCCCAAACATGCTCGAATGGGGACAGGTCCGGACAAACAGCTGGCCAGGAGAACATCAGAATGTTCTGCTGTCTCAGGAAATCTGTCTGAACACGAGCGACATGTGGACGGCTGCACATGAGGCCCAATGATCTCATCCATGTATCGCAGACCTGTCAGATTGCCATTGACAATGACGAGTTGTGCCCGATCATAAGATGTGATGGCTCCTCATACCATAACGCTTTCGGCACCAAACTGTCTACGTTAAACAACGCACGTGTCCCAGATGAAATCTCGACTCGTCAGTGTACAAACCGCCATCCCAATTTTGTTTCCTGTACCGTAGATGCTGTCTGCACCAGGCAAGATGTGCCTGTTGGGGACATTGGGAGCAAAATTGGAAGTATTGCAGCCTGTCGGGGCCGGATATTGTGCTCCGGTTCCATACAGTCTTGGAATTGATTGGAAATAAGTCAGGAATTGTCCCAGCAGTCAAACTTGCAGTATGGAATCGATTCCTTAGATGGGTCAGCCGAATGTTGTTGTCTTGCTGACGTGACGCCACGCGTGGACAGCCGGTCCAAGGCAAATCTCTTGTATTCCCATTATGTTGAAAACGTCCCCATGGAGATGAGATCGTGTTTCGATGGACACCAAAATGTCCGGTCACTTCATTTTTTGTCTATTCCAATCTTCAGCACAGTCCCATGGCGCAGAGACGATGATTTTCTGTAAGCCGTGGCACGACGTACGCACAGTTCAGGTTGAAATTAACGTGTCAGGTGTGTGAACTTGCAAAAAATGAGTAATTCATTGTGCTCAAAATGCACGTACGATACTTGACATCAAATTACATAATTGCACAGTTACTTTTTTCCGTTAGTATATCATTTGCCTTGCTTTTGCCGATGATACAACATAAATATCCCTTAAACCATCAAACTGTGCAAACAATGTATTTAACAATGTAACTGCAAAACAAGAAAATTAGTCATCAACACTAGCAAAATAACAATGTTATTTTTTTGCAGTACCAAAAAAGAGTAAACAGATGCTATTAAATGGCTCACCTATCAAATATGTCACTGATTATAAATATATAAGAATTCATTTTGCAAACAATAATTCTAATAAAAACTGTTAAAGCCTACTGTGAATCCCCCATCAAGGCATTGTACTTTGTGCTGCGTAAAAGTCGAATCTTTAACCTGTCAATAAAATACCAATTATATCTCTTTGGTGCCATGGTTAAGCCAATTCTCTTAGACCTGTGAAGGTCCGCCTTAGAATTGGCCTTCAGTAACTCATGTTTGTCGTAAGAGGCGACTAACGGGATAGGGTATTCAGGCGCGCTGACTTGGTTGACACATGTCATCGGTTCCCAATTGCGGAGATCGATACTCATGCTGTTGATCACTGGATTGTCTGGTCAAGACTCGATTATTTACAGACCGCCGCCATATGGCTTGAATATTGCTAAGAGCGGCGTAAAACAAAACTCACTCACTCACCAATTCTCTTAGATGGCTGCGAAATATGGGGATTTGAAACCGTAAAGTATCGAGTCTGCCCATGTTATTTTTTTACGCATTTTACTGACTGTTAAGAAAAGCACGTCATTCTATGTGTTAGTAATTACATGTCGTATGGTATGTTTTGGGGCTAAACTCCACTCTGGTAAAGAACTAAAATTATGAAGAATTCTAAATCAAAGGCACCCATGAAGGGCCATCCCCTCGTGGTGGGTGCTGGGTAACGCTAAGCGCCCTTCAACCCCCTTTGTGGACCCGGGGGAATATTTCGTCCACCAACCCGTTTGCCGTGGGTTGCGCCCCTGTGTCGGTGGAGGACGGGATTCTGGTGGTTGAGGGCAATAGGATCCTGGGAACCGTGTTCCTGTTGCCCAACACACCACTTTGGCCCTTACTTCACCTAGACGGGTGGTAGAACTGGCCCGGTTCTATCAATCGGCTGGTCACGCCAAGCCCTGTGCATAGTTATTTTATTTGCACGTTTTTATTATTGGGCCTTGGACATTTTGATTTTCAATGTACAAATTATTTATATATGAAATTGCCTAGAGTCCTATGCCAGAAGGCGGTGGCTCATGGGCCAATCTGGTGATGTTTGTGGTATCAGCTATTCTAGTATGAACTGTACAACCCTAAATGGGCCTCTATCCCCAACAGGGCCCCAGTGCTATTTATAGTGTGAGGGGGAATAACTCTTATTGCCCTTGTTCAAGGCAGTTGAGAGCACATGGCCACTGCCCTGCCATGCTTGTTGTGTAAGCCCATCTTGAGCTAGAATAAACCCACATACTTCAGTGATAGTGTCCTTCATATCACCACAATGTTGACCTCTGAATAATGCATGTCTCGAATTTCTTGTCAAGGGCCGAACCAGTCTGGCATTAAATTGGTAGATAAATGCAGCTATTCATGTCGTATTCACTTGAGTATAACACCCCTGTATCCTTGGTGTCAGCATCTTGGAGATCTGGTGCTATATGACACTGTCCTTGTTGACATTCCGTGGTGGATGGGGAGCAGGGGTGCCGAATCTTTTTCCTTTCACTATGGCGTCACAACAATCTGGTTCACTGAGAAATGAAAAGAGGCGTTTGGATGAACTTGACCAAACTACAAGAAATACCTCTTCAAGTGCTGAGTCATGGACTAGATTTCTGGTTATAGAGGGCAAAGATAATTTACCTATCAAACTTAATCCTTTTGCGATCTCCAAAGCAATATCTGGAATTTGTGGGGAAGTGGCGAACGTCACCCGTCTTCGTAGCGGCTCGCTTCTGGTCGAGTGTGCACGGAAACAGCAATCTCTAAATCTTTGTCAATCAAAATGTTTGCAAATATTGAGGTTGCTGTGTCTGTGCACAGAACTTTAAATTCTTGTCGCGGCATTGTTCGGGACAGGGCTCGTTGTCTTTCGGATATGTCCGAGGAGGACATTGCAACAGAGCTTAAGGAGCAGGCTGTTACAGCGGTGAAACGTTTTCACCATCAATAGAGAGGGTGTCGTCATTAACACCAACACCTATCTCCTGACATTTTCTCTTGCAACCATTCCCCAATCAATTAAAGCTGGATACTTAAATATCGGAGTGGAGGTGTATGTCCCCAATCCACTCGGTGTTATACATGTCAACGTTTTGGCCATGGGTCGAAATCATGTCGCAACTCTGTGGTGTGTCACGCTGTGGGAGACCATCATGCAGATACAGACTGTCAAAAAGAGTATAAATGCGCAAATTGTGAAGGTCCCTCATCCTCCATCATCCAGATCCTGCCCTGTGTGGCAAAGGGAAGCGACAATTATGAGACTAAAGTGTGGAAAAGTATTTCATCTTTAGACTGCAAACAATTGTATGCAACTCAGAACTCCAACTCCTTTGAGTATAACTTTTGCTATTCTGCTGCAGTCAGCGCACAGTCAAAATCGTGCTATAGCAACATCATCTATTGTTGCCAGACTGACTTGACATGGATCAAGTCAGAAAGACCTGTTTCAGCCAGTCCACAAAAGTCCCCAGTTACTGAACCTATGTCACCAGCTACACAGCAGACTACTTCTTCTTCTTTCATTCAGACTGTTAGTCAACCTGAGCTACTAGTCAAAAACCTCGATCAAACAAACAGTAAACAAAAAAAAAAAATTAAACAGCCCCACTCAGCCAGTTCAGCAAATGAGGAAAAGGAAAAAAATTAAACAGAAAAGAGACACCTTCTGTCCCTTTTACCTTCAGAGCTCCCTCTGGAGAACCCTCTGGACCTCTCGACATGGAGGTCACAATGTCCCTCACAGGACAAGCGGAGGAATAGCTTATCTCTCCCATTCACGAGAGAGAGATCTTCGATTGAGCCACCATCATGACTCAATTGTCTAATATAATTCAGTGGAATTGCAGAGGACTGAGGAATAACTTCAATGAAATACAATTACTCATTCAAGATCTTCAACCGTCAGCATTATGTCTTCAAAGAGACATACCTTAAAAATACTGATACTTTTTAATTTAAGACGGTTTGAGCGATTATCATTCCTTCTCCCCTCCAGGCAATAAAGCTACTGGTGGCGCCTCTATTTTGGTGCACCAGAGTGTCATTCACAGTCCTGTCACTTTAAATACGGATCTTCAAACTGTTGCTGTGCGTCTCACTCTGCACATTGCTCTGACATTGTGCAGCTTGTATATACCGCCTTCTTCAAATATTCAACAATCAGATCTTCAAAATCTGTTTGATCAACTTCCGAAGCCATGTCTCATCATGGGCGATCTGAACGGTCACAATCCGCTTTGGGGAAGTGACCATATTAATACTAAAGGTAAAATCCTTGAGGAATTTATTTCCGATAATCACCTGTGTCTATATAACGATGATTCTCCCACTTATCTACATCCAGCTACGGGAACATATTCTTCCCTGGATCTGTCAATTGCCGACTCCAGCCTGTATAATGAATTTGAATGGGTGGTCCATGATGACCTATGTGGGAGTGATCACTTCCCCACCATTCTCAAAAAAGTCAACCCTGGGGATGATCCACCTTTATCGAGAAGGAACTTTGCCAGGGCTGACTGGTCATTATATGAGACTCTGTGTGCTGAACAATTAGCTCATGATCGTTTTAGGAACAGTGAATATATCCTATTCAGTCGTTTTCTGATATCCTTAATCGCATTGCTGACAGAACAATTCCTCAGTCCTCAGCGGTTCCACATATTCGTAAACCATGGTTCAATAACGAATGTAAACAGGCCAGAAAGTGTAGGAAGAAAGCAGAAAAATATTTTCGCCGACATCCTACTGTCCATAATTTAGATAAATTTAAAATGTTAAATGCCAAGGCGCGACGCAGTTTTAAACAGAATAAGCGTCAGTCTTGGCGAAACTATGTTTCCAAAATAAATTCTCGAACACTGATGTCAAAGGTGTGGAACATGATACAAAGAATAAAGGGCAAAGGTTCCAAATCTACCGTTCATCATTTAAAGGACGGTGATAATTTGTTAACTGATAAGGCTGACATTGCCAATAAGCTTGGTGAAACTCTCGCCAAACATTCGTCTTCATCCAATTATGTCCCTGAGTTTCAGAAACATCAGACAATGGAGAAGACTACAATGAATTATTTTCAATGCATGAGTTACGTACTGCCCTTGAGCAAGCTCAACATACACTATCAGCTCTTGAAACATTTACCTGATTCATGTTTGGAAACACTTTTAAATATTTTTGATACAATATGGACTTCAGGGAATTTCCCAACTTCGTGGCGTAAAGCCATAGTATTCCCTTTACCAAAGCCTGGCCGGGATCATACTGATCCGTCAAATTACAGGCCAATCTCTTTAACGAGTTGTGTCTGTAAAACCATGGAACGAATAGTAAATAATCGATTAACATGGTATCTTGAAACCAATATCTCATAACAAATATTCAATGTGGTTTCAGGAAAAATCGTAGTACCATTGATCATTTGGTACGTTTAGAATCCTTTGTTAAAAATGCTATAGTAAATAAACAACATGCAGTATCGATATTCTTTGATCTTGAGAAAGCGTACGATACCACCTGGAAGCATGGCATTTTAAAGGATTTACATGATTTTGGTTTAAGGGGTCGTTTACCTCTTTTTATATCACAGTTTTTTTAACGGACAGGCAATTTCAAGTCCGAGTGGGTTCAACCCTGTCTGACCATTATAATCAGGATCAGGGTGTCCCACAAGGCAGTATTTTGTTTGTAACATTGTTTAGTATTAAGATCAACAGTTTATCCAAGGTTTTAAATGATTCAATTGATGGATCACTTTTTGTGGACATTTCTTGTCGCGGTAAGAATATGCATACTATTGAACGGCAACTACAGTTGTGTTTAAATAAAATACAGAAATGGTGTCTTGAAAACGGCTTTAAATTCTCTAAATCAAAAACTAATTGCATACATTTCTGCCGTAAATATAAAACCACATAAAGACCCAGAACTGTTTTAAATGGCACTGGCACTCCCAGAGGCCAAGTTCTTAGGTCTCATTTTCGACTCCCATTTAACTTTTCTTCCGCATATCAAATCTCTAAAAACTAAATGCCTGAAGGCACTCGATTTATTGAAAGTCGTGTCTAATTCAAGGTGGGGAGGGGATCAAGCTACGCTCCTACATCTTTACAGATCACTTGTCCGCTCGAAGCTTGATTATGGCTCTATCGTATATGGTGGAGCCTGTAAAAGCAACCTAACACTCTTAGATTCAGTCCACCATCAAGGCCTGAGACTTTGTCTTGGGTCCTTCAGAACTTCTCCTGTTGACAGTCTTTACGTCGAAGCAGATGAACCTTCTCTTAACCAACGCCGTATAAAATTATCATTACAATATATTACAAAATTATATTCTAACGAGGCTAATCCTGCATTTCACTGTGTCTTTAATCCTCTTTATGAGGATTTGTATAACAAAAATTCTTCTCTTGTTCCGCCTCTTGGGCTCAGAATTCAGCCATTTCTTGCTGCTGCCGGCGTTGAGCTGGAAAATATCGCTCCTTCCCGTCTTCTTTCTTCTCCGCCTTGGCAGTTGGTTAGGCCACAAGTCGACCTAACACTCACTACATTTAAAAAATCAGAAACTAATGACTTACAATATAAACAAGAATATAATCAATTAAAAAGTAAATACAATACATATAAATCCTTATTTACAGATGGGTCCAAGGATGGTGGCGCGGTTGCTTGTGCCACTGTCATTGGGTCCAAAACAATATCTTCCAGATTACCCAATGACAGTTCAATTTTCACAGCAGAAGCAAACGCAATATTAACAGCTCTTAAATATATAAATAGACACCCTAAATATAAACAATATATAATATTTTCAGACTCTCTTTCTTGCCTTCAGGCGATTAAAAATATTTCTTGTAAACATCAACTTTTAATAGAAATTATAGAATTATATAATGATCTTGCAACTGGCCAATACGACATCGTCCTCTGTTGGTTACCCAGCGACGTTGGCATTTCTGGTAATACAATGGCCGATTTTGTTGCCAAGGCAGCACTCAACAAATCTGTGACACCACTTCTGATCCCATACTCTGATTACAAAGCAAGCATTAGAACTTGCATCCGTGATCTGATGCGAAAGAAGTGGGATGCCCAAGTAGGTATCAATAAATTACATGCAATAAAACCAACCTACTTGGGTTGTCAGTCCAGATTTGAAGAGGTCATCATACGACGATGTCGTATTGGTCACACCAGATATACTCATGAATACCTGTTAAAAGGTGAGGATCCTCCGTTTTGTATCCCTTGTGATGAAAGAATCACGGTCAAGCATGTCCTGCTTGACTGTGTTGAATATTCCATCACAAGGGATATTTATTTCAAAGTAAAAACTATGAAGGATCTTTTTAGTAATATAAGTTCTCATTTAATTATTGCCTTTTTAAAAAAATTAGACTTGCTAACTGATTTGTAAATAGATGTATATTTTATTATTGGTAGTTTAGATTAGTAACTGAGATTTTTAGTGGCTGTACTCTCAAAAGGGGTTGAAGTAGCGTAAAATTATTGTCCTCCTGCGAGGGTACGTAAGTCCCGAAACACTTCAAGTCAGTTTAAGTGTACCCGGTTTTTAATCGTAGTATTTTTGTGTTTTTAATGTATGGCTAAATCTCAGTATCAACGCCAATGGCTGAAGGGATGGTGTAAATCCAGCTAGGGTCCATGCAGGTAGCAAAAGTAATGTAAGTCCCCATGGGCCTTAGTATGGTGATCTACCTTCAGTTGTTGGCGATCTATAGCCCATTTTTACATTGTATTGTCTTCTTTAATTTGAATATTTTAGCTTTGTTCGCTAGTTTTATATTGATATCTGTGATTATCTAGTATTTTTACTGTCCTTCGTCGGCAGGTTTTTATAATAACTATATACATCTATTTCAATGTCAAATGTTCTCGTCACGATATGGCTGAAATATTGCCGATGTGACGTTAAATAGTAACTCACTCACTCACTCTAAATCAAATGTTATGTTATGGAGTCTGTATAAACAATAGCAATAAAACAATCCATAAAATCTGTTGGAGACGTTTTTAATGAAACTGAGTATAGCTTTTTCTTGCTAAGTCAACAAGCTGTCTTAAACAATATACTTAAATCTATTATCTCCTTAAGGTTACATGATATAGCAACTCAAACATTATGTGCAGAGTTTTCCATTTCTTCTAAAGGTACCACTTAACGCATATTCAAATCTAGACTTGTCCTTGAAAAGTATTTGACATATATGACCTTCTCCTTCGCTCTTAAATTAAATTTGTCATCGTTTACCTATAAAAGCAGGCAAATGGCACAAACTTTCCCCAAGGAAATACTATGTAACCTGTGCAACATGTGTGATGTTGGCGATGAATTTCATTATATTTTTCTCTGCCCTTTCTTCAAAATATAATTGGAAATCATATATCCCAAACCATTATGTTAAATAACTCAATGCGTTACAATTCAAAGAATTGTTTAACTGTAGACAAATATGTGTTGTAAACAAGAGTCATCAGAAGATAAAATACCCCCCGGCCCCCACAAATTAGAAAGAACAAATCATGGGACAGTGGAATAAATATTTTTGTCCATTCTGTATTACCATCATGTCAATTGTACATGAAAACCATCCTGTGTGTTCTTAACTGTATATTTGTATCTCTTATGTCAAGAATCCCGGCCTGAACGTCAGAAAAGTTCTGTTCTGCCCTGCAAGGAATAGTAGTCATGCTTTGTTGTTTGTAAATGTTCACAACTGTCGAGATCACTACAGACATCTACAGCCATTTTACCTTGAGTCATGTATTTAGTCCTTGTTTACCTGGTAAAGGCTGGATTGACTGATACTAGAGTATTCCTCAGTGCCTTGGGAAATAATATTGTCTCAATCTCTTTGAGAAAACAGTGAAATGTCCAAACATGTTTTATCCCATTCAATGATATATTCTCGAATGCACATGTATTATCTTATATGGGCCTGAAGAAACCACCTTCTGGCCACAACCAAAACTAAGCTACTAAATATTTCAACGCTGGCCTCCAACAGTGAGTGTATATTCCACTTCTGGTATTTACAAAAACTACAGAGTTAGAGTGTTAACATTTTTATAATTCATTCATACTCAAACCACCTCTTCCTTTTTTCAGGAAATATCTGAAGGCAGGAAGACATCTTTCTCTCCCCATTCAAACCAATCAATGGATGTGGGTACGTGTGCATACGATGTTTACAGTACTGTATCTCATATCCCGAGAGAGTTAATTGGCTTTTGTGCAGCAGGGCCAAAGAAGGGAAAAGTCAGATATTGTACCATTGCCAGTTTTTAGAAAGTTTAGAGTTATTTGCAAAGTATCCACTTTAAAATGTATATAGGATGTTTGGTTCTTGTTTTCCTCAAATGACATGTTTGCCTTGGCCATTGAGTTTAAAACAAATCTTTCTTACTCTACAGGCCAAAACTACAGCACATGAGATACAAAAGCACATGTTAACGTTTAACTGAGTACAAAAGGTTTTGCATATTTCAATCTTCAATTACTAAAACATATAATACAAAAACCATTTTTATTACAATGTAAAAGGGCATCCGTGAAGAGCCACCTCCTCTTGGTGGGTGCTGGGTAACGCTAAGAGCTCTTCAAACCCCTGTGTGGACCCGGGGGCATATTTGGTCCACCAACCTGTTCGCCGTGGGTTGCGCCCCTATGTCGGTGGAGGACGAAAGTCTGGTGGTTGAGGGCACTGGGAGCCTGTAACTGTGTTCCTTTTGGAACATGGGCCAATCTGGTGATAATGACCTCCAAATGATGTCGGAGTGGATGTGTATGTCCCAAATCCGCTCCGATGTTCCAAATGTCAACATTTTGGTCATTGGTCACGGTCTTGTCGAAACTGCGTGGTGTGTCAACTTTGTGGTGACCATCATGAGAATACCGACTTTCAGAATGATTACAAATTTGCCAACTGTAACGGTCCACATTCTGTGTCATCGAAGTTCTGCCCTGTGTATCAAAGGGAATCTCAAATCATGAAGATCAATTCTGAAGAAAAAACAATTCATATCTCGATGCCAAAAGACTATTGACAAATCAGTCCGTTGACTGTCACATATTCCACCGCAGTCACCCGCTCTGCAGAAATGTCCTCTACTGCATGTCAGACTGACTTGACTTGGGTCAAGTCAGCTCAACCTTTCTCATCAACGTCAGCCATGAATACAACTACCCCAGTCATTCCATCTACGTCTGGTTTCTAGACAGATGGACCTGTGAAGATCCGGGGTAGAATAGGTCTTCAGCAACCCATGCTTGCCACAATAGGCGACTATCCTTGTTGTAAGAGGCGACAAACGGGATCGGGTGGTCAGATTCGCTGACTTGGTTGACACATGTCATCGGTTCCCAATTGCGCAGATCGATGCTCATGCTGTTGATCACTGGATTGTCTGGTCCAGACTCGATTATTTACAGACCGCCGCCATATAGCTGGAATATTGCTGAGTGCGGCGTAAAACTAAACTCACCCCCTCACTCCAAGACAGATGAAATTTATTCCGTGATCCCATCTCAAAAGTCTATTTCAAAACCAGCCAGTGAACAAATTAAAAAAACAGAAAGGAAAACAATTAACAAAGACAAACCACCTTCTGTCCCTTGACCTTTAGTGGTTCCAACACAGAATGCATTTGGACCTCTAGATATGGAGGTTACTCTGTCCTCACTGGACAAGCGGAGGAACAGTTCCTCGCACTCCCGTCAACGATAGCCAATTGAGCCACCATGACTCAATTGCCAACTTTAGTGCAGTGGAATTGCAGAGGACTAACGAATAACTTTAATGAGATAAAATTATTAGTACAGGATTTTAAACCGTCAGTATTATGTCTACAAGAGACATATCTAAAAATACCGATAACTTTAATCTACGACAGTACAGTGATTATCACTTTTTTTTCTCCTCTAGGAGATAAAGCAACAGGAAGTGCTTCTATTTTGGTACGACAGGTATAATACATAGCCCTGTCCCTCTTAATACCAATCTGCAAACTGTAGGTGTTCGTATTACCCTGCACATTGCGCTCACGTTGTGCAGTTTGTATATCCCTACGTCTTCTGATATTTGACTGTCGGATCTTAAGAATCTATATGATCAGCTTTCGAAGCCTGTAACAGCAACCTCAAACTATTAGATTCTGTCCAGCACCAAGATCTAAGACTTTGTCTTGGGTCCTTTAGAACATCTGTTGACAGTCTCTACGTCGAGGCAGATGAACCTCTCTTGCACAACGCCGTATAAAATTATCATTTCAATATATTAAAAAATTATATTCTAACGAATCTAACTCTGCTTTCAACTGTGTCTTCAATCCCCTCTATGAGGATTTATCCAACAAGAAATCGTACCTTGTTCCGCCTCTTTGGCTTAGAATTAAACCATTTATTTCTGCTGCTGGCATTGATCTTGAAACTATATCTCCTTCCCGTCTTCTTTCTTCTCCTCCTTGGCAATTGGTGAGGCCAGACGTTGACCTAAAAAATCACAAACTAATGACTTACAATATAATCAAGAATTTAATCAATTAAAAAGTAAATATAATACATACAGTTATTTACAGATGGGTCCAAGGATGGTGGCGCTGTTGCTTGTGTCACAGCCATTGGATCTAGTACAATATATTCTCGAATACCTGATAACAGCTCTATTTTTACAGCAGAAGCAAACGCCATACTAACAGCCTTAAAATATATTTAAAACACCCTAAATACAAACAATATATAATATTTTCAGACTCTCTTTCGTGCCTTCAGGCTATTAAAAATCTTTTTGCAAACATACACTTTTAATAGAAATTATTGAATTATATAATGATCTTGCTACTGGCCAATACGACGTCGTCCTCTGTTGGGTACCCAGCCACGTTGGCATTTCTGGGAATACAATGGCCGATATTGCAGCCAAGGCAGTTCCAACAAATCTAATGCAGAAGAAGTGGGACACCCAAGTAGGTATCAATAAATTACATGCAATAAAACCCTATATTGGTTACACCTACTTGGGTTGTCAGTCCAGATTTGAAGAGGTCATCATACGACGATGTCGTATTGGCCACACAAGATATACTCATAAATACCTTGAAAGGCGAGGATCCTCCGTTTTGTATCCCTTGTGATGAAAGAATCACGGTCAAGCGTGTCTTGCTTGACTGTGTTGAATATTCCATCACAAGGGATGTCTATTTCAAATCAGGAACTATGAAGGATCTTTTTTAATAATATAAGTTCTCATTTAATTATTGCATTTTTAAAAGAATTAGTTTTGTTAACTGATTTGTAAATAGATAAATATTTTATGATTGGAAATTTAAATTAGTAACTCAGATTGTTAGTGGCTGTATCCTCAAGGGGGGTTTAACATACAGTAAAATGATTGTCCTCCTGAGAGGGTACGTAAGTCCCGAAACATTCAAAGTAAATTTAAACTCTCCACTTTAATCGTAGACTATGTGTATTTTAATGTAAGCCTAGATGTGTGTAACTTGGTTTAGTCACGATATGGCTGAAATATTGCCAAAGTGACATTAAATTTTAACTCACTCACTCACTAAAATATAAAAGTGAAATTGTGTGATGTTTAGTCTTCCTAAATACTTTCCTGGTATGTAACAGCTTTCCCTATTCAGACAGACAGACGGACAGACAGTTTATTCAATACAAAGGCCATAGTTCCATAATACTGGCAATGTTTGGTTGCATGGATCACGCATGCCAAAGAAGAAGTGAAACATCCTACGAGGTCCACTGAAACGGGTGGTGAATGCGGATTATGTCATTTCTTAGGATGCTATGTTCCAACTGTTTGTGACTGACGACATGGCCAAAAGGATTGTCTTTTACGAACATAGAGGGGAAGAGAGCTGTGACAGAAAGGGGCAAAGAAGAAAATGTTTGGAAAGAAACTAATGAAGATGAGATTTGGGCTCTGATAGGGGTTCTGATGACTATTGGTCACCTGAAACTGTCGATGTTGGATTCACAAGTGTTATGGAGTAAGGGATATGGAATTCCCTATGTCAGGGCTGCAGTGTCTGAAAGGCGGTTCTTGGATCTCATATCCATGCTCAGATGTAATGACAAGGTGTCGAGAAGTGCCCGTCGTGCAAAGGACAAGTTTGCTCCCATCCGAGACATCTTGGAGGAGTTTGAGTCTCTGGGGCGCTATTATGTACCGGGCCCGCACCTCACTGTTGACAAACAGTTAGTCCCATTCCTCGGACGCTGCAGCTTTATCCAGTACCTGCCAGCCAGGCCAGATATATTTGGCATACTATTGTTTTGGCTCTTTCATGTCGAAAATGCATATCCCTTGAAATGTATCCCATACTTAGGGAAGGAAGGTAGAAATGTCCAGATAGGGCTTGGACGTCAAGTGACCATGGATCTTTGCCGCCCGTATTTCCGATCCAATCGGAATAATACAGCCGACAATTTCTTTGCCGACTTAACGCTTGGCCAGGAACTTTTGGCAAATTGCTTGACACGTGTTGCACTCTCAGACAGAACAGGAAATTCCTGCCAACAGAGTTCAACTCAAAACACGACCTCCATCACTCTCATTTTGGGTATCAGAATAAGGTCAGCATTGTGTCTTACAAATGCAAGAAGAACAGAAGTGTCTCAATGATTAGCACTATGCATTATAGAAGCCTGAAATTGTTACATTCTACAACAGTACCACGGGTGGCGCCGATGTCATGGATCTGATGGCCCAAAGATACACCATAAAAGAGAAAGACCAAGAGATGGCCGATGGTCATTTTCACTAACATATTGGATATCGCGGGCATCGCCTCCTACACTGCATGGGAAGTGAAGAACACCCAGTTTGCTGGACAAGAACGACAAATCTTTCTTGAAACAGTTGCTGAAGCTCTGCTGATAGCTCAACTGAGAAAGAGAAGTACTTCGACAATCCCTCGGCGACTGCAACGTGAAATTACCGACGTCTTGCCAGATCCGCTTCCATCTACAACTACATCTGAACCCACTAAAAGGCGACGTTGTTGCATTTCCCTACCAAGGACAGAAAGTCAAAACTGGCTTGCTGTAATTGCACAAGAACCACATGCAACAAACATTGCAGCAAAGCCGGCATCTGTGATGATTGTAAAGACTGAATGACTGAATCAATGGTCAACTTGTTACAATGCA